CACGGAATATAGAATACAATGGAAGTAGCAAGTAGGCGTGGCACGCGTGCCACAGCTAAGCTGTGTACTGCTTACTCGAGGCAAAATTTGAGTTCAGTCTCGTTCGAACATGGCGTCGAGTTGCTAGTCTCGTGTCAAATACATATTTCCTCAACTATGCCGTTTTGTTCCGTTTTGGCGTGTAAAAATGATAGCAGCCGAAAAATCGTAAAAATGGAGGTGTTCCGTATCATCGGTAAGTACAATTTTTATTGTTTTCTTGTAGAAATCTTATTTTATTTCAATTTACAAAAACAGTTATTAAAATAATATTATTTACTAAAACGGTTAGTCAAAATCAACCTTACGCCTTCAAGATAAAGTTTATTTTGGATTTATTCCATTCAATAGAACATTCTCGCCAGTTCTACGCTACTCAAATAGTTATGTAGTCAAATCACATATTGAATTTATCGATTGATATCGATGCAAGTGTAATGTAACATTTATTTAGATTATTTTTTTATTATTATTTTAGTGGTGACCCCGACGTGATTGGAAGCAACCTTCACTTCACGGAGCAGATCAGCACCGTCATCCTTATCGCCATCCCTCTCATTTATCACATTATCCATATAAAGTTTGTAAAAATTTATGTAATAGTTGTTACTTATATTGCCTATGTGAAATAAAAAAAATGATTTTTTGAAAAAAGAAACTAATAAAAAATACGAACAAAATGGTTTTTGATTTACATGTAAATAAATACTTACCCTTTTTTGTTACGTTTAAAAAGTTATCAACGACATATTAATTTTATTATTTTAATACTGTCACACTATAGCAGTCAATATTTTTTTTCATATTATTTTTAAAACACATTTTCATATTATCGATATTATTTTTATCGAATTATCCTACATCACTATCTGAGTAGAGACCCGCATTCGAGCCAGTGATAAGCCATTCAAATATCACCTTTATTCTTACAACGTTAAAGTTCAAACCAAGTACCACTTTTCGTCGCTAGATGGCATTGTTAAACGCCATCTAGCGACGAATGGCGGTACTTGGTAGTCCAAAACATACTTTTTTATTTTGATTTATAGTACATTGGTTTTAAAGTTGCATATCGTATGATATTTTTTTTGCATTTCGTTTACGCCCATTTTTTTTCTAACCAATCGCAATTTCCGATTTATAGTATGAGTAAATTATAAATGTATTAGTTTGGCGACACCGGTTCTGGCAGAAATATTGTTTCAAGCTACTTCCATTGTATTCTATATTCCGTGTAGGTTACAACCTATTTTAATTTCTTAGAATTTGTTAAAATAAATAGTTTTTTGGAAATATAATATAGAAAATTTTACAAAATACAGTGTCATCCAACATGCTTGTCTGTCTACGTAATTGTTATGAAAGACTTAAAAATACCCGATGGGTTTGCCATGGAGGTAGCTTTCAACAACCAAATAATTACTCTTGAGAAAGATAATATTACCAAAACGTGAATCTACGCGAGATACTTACAATGTATTTTCTATTGTGTCCTTACACCTTTTGTAACCTAGGTCTCACAGTATAATTACTGATGAAAAGGTAGTGTACTTCTAAATTTGAAATCTGCGCGGCGTAATGAGATAAATGGACGACTATGTCCATTTCTCTATTTTTATGGGAGGAAAATCATCAAATGATTTCTCCCGCCTGGATGAGGCGGGAGGGAGTGTTATACTCTTAATGACTAAGAATTCTCTTGCATTTCAAGCCGGAGCCCCGGTAACCTTTTATATTCTCCGCGACTCCGTATCGGCATCAAGCCGCATAAATGATCTCCCATAATCCCTAACAATCTTCAACTTGCTAATCCCCAAAATGCCGGTTACAATGGGCGACGCCGATTGCTTACCATCAGGCGATCCGTCTGCTTGTTTACCGGCTTATTCCATAAGAAAAAAACCTATTTAAAGTCAAAGTCAAAATCATTAATTTTAATTAGACCAGAGAGGCACTTTTGAACGTCAATAAAAAAAACTAAAAGTGATAGTGTATTCTAAGTAATTATCATTTTAGCTCGAATTATTCACTACTGAAATCGTATTTAATTTTAATTAGGATTAAGTATTTAAAACTAATGCTTTTATAAACTACATTTCAAAAACCGACTTCAGCGCCCTCTTTTTTGGAGTCTATTAACTAATATACTAAAACCTTTTCCTAAGTGTCCTAATAAACACTATTTTGAAAACTACATTAAAATAGGCTCAGCCAACTGCAAGATAATCGCACACAAAAATATAAGTATCCATTATCCATACATACCTACAAGTCAAAATGAGAACCTCCTTCTATTTTTTTAATTCGATTAACAATTTTAAAACGCTAATTGAATTATTAAAAATATGTTCGACAAAAATAATTTGAATATTGTGAACATCAATTACTTGTATTACATATATGTATTAATGATATTCCTTACAAACCTGATGATTAATAATAAATAAATTACTCACGTACAACAATTAATTATATGTTGTATAGTCAAATTACAAGAAAACAAAATAGTCACCTAGTAAAACCTTGACTTATTCTGACGTTTCAGATATACGTCATTTATTTTGTTACAATTAAAGCGATCCATAATTAATTTGAATTATTAATAAACTTGAATACACTGTGACCTTTCGCACTAATGACGATTACTTTTGAAACAAGCAAATAGGTAGCCTACCGTAGATTGTATTCAAATCAATCGGTAAATTCCGCAGTAATTTTGAAATTTGGCAAAAGTCCACTTCAGGCCCGTAGCCGGTGAGTAGTAGAATATAAATTAGTTTTATATAGCCTAATGTAACCTTATCATTCTTTTATTGGATTTAATATTTTTCAGTAGGTATTGTTTGTCTAATTTACGTTTACTTCTGCAAAATTTAATACATCTATAGATACGTTCATATGAATTACACTTAAAATGTAAGCTTTCGATTTATTGTTCAGAAAATAATGACTTATACGTAACGTCAAAA